GGAAGGGTTTCTTTGTTGAGAGATCGGAAGTTGTTCGCGCGGTTTTGCGTAATTCAGTATTAACCGCCTCCTCGTCAATTTCTTCTCTCTCCTTGGGCCACTGATTGGGGGAAAGCTTTAGCCAACCAGGCCCCTCCCACCATTTCGTCTCTAGGAGTCTTCTGGCGTCACATCCTTGGGAAGGTAAATCCGCAGGATTTAGAGTTCCAGGCACATATCCCCAAGACTTGATATCGGTAAGACCTCTGATCTCTTGGACGCGATTCCACACAAAGACTGCCCATTGTTTCGTTTCTCTTATCCACGTGAGGACGGTAGTCGAATCGCTCCAGAAGTATTTCTCGATATCTTGATAATCCATGATTTTGGTGTAGGAGTGCATCATTCTTGCTCCAATGGAAGCGGCGAGTAGTTCAAGGTATAGTCTTCTTTTCCTTAGGTGCAACTCTTGCTTTGGCTTCGATAAGATGCACTTTAGTTTCCGCATCAGATTCTATCCGCACGAAGAGTGCTGCCGCATAAGCATCCTTGCTTGCATCTACAAAAACGTGAAGTGATATTGAACTGACATCTTCTTTCCCGTTAAAAGTCCATCGCGGAAACCTCAAAACACTTAAGAGATCCAACTGCTGTGTCTATTCCAAAAATTCATCTTTAGCTTTTGGATCAACTTCTGCGTCCCAATCCATTCCTTGATACCATAGGCGCTGTAACAATAACTTAGGTTTTAATAGTACGGGACATATAAATCCGAGAGGATCAAATACTTTTTGAGCGTAAGATAGAATGACCCTTTTTGTTATTTTCTCCGGAACTAGTTGCGAGGGAAAACCCGACAACGAGATTGTATCGCTTCCGGTATCCCAGACAAGTCCGAGCACTGTAGATCGATTATTCGGATTCATTCCAGTATATCTCCAATCCCGTAAATCAAATTTTGCCTCACTCAAGAGAGAACAGGCTTTTTCTTGAAAAGTCTCAAAATCCGCGTACGAGTCGACACTGGTGACACAGTCGTCGACATAAAAGGATTTTTGCAATTTCTCCCAGACTGAGCGTTCGTACGGCAAAATGTTGGAACTCAAACTCTTCTCAATATGTAGTTCTAAGGTGGCTCCCAGTAAAAATGGACTGCTTGTCATACCGAAGACGACTCGACGATGTCGGTATGTCACTATATTTCCATCGGTGTCCCACCAGAGAAATCTTAACATATCCATATCTGAAGACGAGACGCTGATCTGTAGAAAAACCTTTGTAATATCTGCGGTAACACCTATCTTCTTTTCTCAAAACCTATGAAGTAGCGTCGGGATGAGTTCAATAAGGTTGGGCCCAGCCTCCAGACATTGATTGAGAGAAGGCGAATCTCCCATCTTAGCTGAAGCATCAAAGACCGGTCGAATTTTGGTGGTTCCTTCTATTTTGATAACCGGTCTATGTGGAAGGTAAAATTCCTTCCGCGTAACCTCCTGTATGGGTACTTTCTCTATAATATCCTCGGTGAGCCAATTATTCAGAACTGCATTGTATTCGTCAAATAGGTTCTGGTGCCGTAGTTTTTTCGTAACATAGTTCAATCTCTTCTCAGCTAAATCTCTGTTGTCTTGCAAAGGTGGATGATTTTCTTTCCAAGGCAAAAGGACTTCGTAACGACCTTCCTAGTTGATTCTCGTCGTTTCTTGAAACATCGCTGATTTTTGCTTGACGTGCTTCCTTTGTAACGCTTTCTAAGGGGTCGGTAATGCCTAAAGCATCCAGCTTCCACAGATCTGATACATTAGCCTCTTGCGAGAACATAGAGATTACCATCAAAGCTGTATTGGTCTTACTATCATCTAAATTCTTGCCCAAAATTGTTCAACCAAACTTCGTCTCGAAAGCCGTTATGCCTTGGTTGATTTGAAAAACTTTATCCGTAAAAATCTTTCCAGCGACGTCTGCTCCAATCAACAATGAAATGGGTTCTTTGTCTTCGCCCGTATCACTTAGATGTACCTCTTTTTCTTTGAGTACATCCATCCATGGACCACGGGTTACCCTGGGAACAGCTTGACAAATTACATCTTGTTGCAAGGCGATGAAATCGCATCTGTATGTTTCGCCTATATCATTAACATGGATACGGCAAGCTTTATGTCTTCGAGGCTTAGTCTTGGCTCCACCAAAGAGTAAGTGTATCATAGTTTGTTCTCCGGCAGCTTCATATCCAAGATCTCTTGCTACTTTTTCTAAAACATAAGACCTGTGAGACCCGGTATCGATGACAGCGCGAACACTCACAATACCCTTCGGACCACGCATCTTAACTCTCAATATGGGTAAAAATACTTTGGCACTTGACAAAACGTTAGTGAGACAGCTATTTCCTTCATTAAAACCTTGCTCCGGAGTGTTTTTCTCACTGGTTTGTTTCGGTTCGTTCTTACTTGCCAAATCTCGACACATCAAAAGGCAATGTCCTCTTCCACACCACGGGCATTTTTCTTTGCTGCGACATCTCTTATAACTGTGTCCTGTTCTCAAGCATTTGAAACAGCCTTGTTTATCTTTTATAATTTTTGTTTTGTCATCCATGTTCATATTCCTAGCTCTTTCGCAAATCGAGCTATCATGATTTTCTCCGCAAAATAGACATTGTTGTGATTTCGTTCCCTTTACGGACAGAAGACCAGCCGCAGTAGCTACATCCGGATCTCGACCTTGATCGCCTTTCGCTTTCTTCTTACTTTTGTCTTTATTTACTTGAACTTCAGTGATGTCATCGGCGAAACAAGTTTTAGCCATTTGAATGCGTTCCTCGCTTTCGACCTGTCTTCCTAGAAAAGTCATTAGACTAGTAAGACGATCCTTTGCTGTGAGATTCACAACAGATGTATCAGCATGAGTAATTAACTGCGTCATAGTTCGCTGCCATGTCCGTAGAGTTTCCTCTGGCAAGGAGGACTCTATCAAAGGAAACAACATGGCAGCGCACATATCCGTCGTTACACCCAATGTCTCTAGCGCTCGGATATGTGTTTCCAATTTATCGTAAATAGACATGAGCGACACATTTTTGCTTTTGCTTAGAACCAATTTCAAGAGTTCACGAACATAGAATTTGATTAATAAGTCTTTCTTACCGAAACGTGACTCAAGACTTTGAATAGCCTTTTCGTAATTAGCTGCTGTAAACGGAAAACTATTTACTACTTCGAATGCACGCGAGTCTTTTACTGTGGACTGTACCAAGTACTGAAATTTGTCTTCTCTTGTTAACGCTGTATCTTCGTGAATCTTTTTAAATGAGCTCCAGAACGGAAGCCAATCTTTAATTTCTCCGCCAAACTTTCTCAGTTCAATTTTCGGTAATTTTAACGCACGTATACTTTCCTGTGTAGTTGCGTTCACAGATCGGAAGAGCACACGTCT